TTTCTTTAACATGTGATTCTGTACTTTAATAAATTATATCTTCATATTTAAATATTTTAAGTTACATATTAAGACTATTCTAGAGTAAAAGTCTGATGCACGGCAAGGAAAAGCATTTTTTTCTCTACCACAGTATAGATTTGATGAGAAATTAGGTCAACTAATGAAGTGATTAGCTCTTAAAAAAAAAAACCCTGATTATGTTTGGTTATTTTTCCTTGAGAATATTTAATATGGAAGGAAATGGATAGAAACAGAAGCCATTAGGTCTTCAAAAGAAGCCACAGTATTTCATAATTTGTGGTGTCAGACATACAAGTTACAGAGTGAAAGTTTACTTTGGAGGTATTAATCCATTCATCTATCTATGATACTTTGGAGACTATTATAATGTTATAAGAACTTCCTAATGATGTCTTCTAAGTAAAATTAATTATTTGTAATTACTTTATGCATATTCATTTTCTCTATTTCAGGGCCATCAATTTTCACTATCAACTGTAATTTTAATCCACTCAATTTTTTTCCTCAAAATATTCTGTAGAATATGATTTTAAAGTAGTTTCTACTGCTACTGCAATATTTTTCTTCATGTACTTATTCATCCTTTATACATATTTATTATTTTAATTCAGATGATTTTAATTGCCATATGAATTTATATAACTGGCATATAGTTTTTATATAAATTAAGACTATAGAAATTCAACATTATTTCTTATTTGAAAGGCAAAATTGAAGGAAGTAAATGTAGATAAGAGAGCATATGATTTCAAGATTTTAGTGAGAACATTTATTTATTTTATGCTTTTAAAATAATGTTGTGGCTGATTAGCTAAATTAGTAAAAAATATATCTAGGATAGGTAAAAAATCAAGAGTGAAATGATGTTATACCCTCTGTATGCCCCATACTACTCCTAACCATGTGTCTTTTAATTGCTGCCCTACTCACAGGCTGGGAAGGAATGTGGGTGCCTAAGAAAGGAAGCAAAGGAAAATAAAATATGCAAGTTCCCCCATCTTTATCTAATCATCTACACCCTGAAGAGAGTTTTTGTTAGCCAAGTTCCCAGATCTTGCATTATACAAAATTAGAAAAGTGTATAGAGAGTCAGATAGGGAGAACTCTGAGAAAAAGGATTAATTAAAGGGAGGGGCTAAATCAGTCTATTTAATGGAGACCCCAAAGATGGTAGAAAATGCAGCATAAGATATGCCTGGAGAAATATCCTCTGAAGTATCTGCAAATGGCAAGAGTAAGGTTTGGGTTTGTTTTAGATCTGTTGATGTGTATGAATTGTGGCTTAGATCTCCTTCAAAGTTATTTGAAGGAAATCTTTAAAGTTTGAACTTCCTTTCAATTCCTATTTGGGAGTTTTACTGTGGTCTGGTGAATATGACTGCATGAATTGACTGGGCCACATAGGCTCAAGATTTATTAGGGTTACAGGTGAAATCATATGTCAGTGACTAATGGAAGTTTTAATACTACTTGCAAAGTCACCATTGCAATTATATGTGTAATAGGCTATAAATATGCACAAGTTATTAAATGCAAATAGAACCGCTATTTGAATATAACCTTTTATACTAATAGATGTGATTAAAAGGAATCAAAATTTGGAACTTATTTTAGTTATATTAATATAGTCAAGCTTAAATCTGCACAGTCACACAATGGAAAAAAACACATTATCTGTAGAAGGAGTTATTTATGAAGTTTTTCATATTTTGGTCCTATGTACTATGTGATTATATGTGCCTGACTTATGAAGGCCAAGCAGTGTCAATTACATTGTAGTATATAATAGCTATAAATGTTTTTGTGGTTATTCTATATTTGAATATAGTAACTTAGTTCCAATTTTAAAATTTCATTTGTAAAAGCTGTAATCTTATCCACTATTTTCTACTTTACTGAAGTCTTAATGTGTAACTCTGAGATAACAGTGAAATGGAAATTGCTTTTAGTGGAAGTTACAATAAAGATAACAGAAATATTTTAGAGTTAAATTTTGTTTACTCTGTGTTGAAAATAGGTACTACATGGAGAGAAGGTATTCGGAAAATTGTTACATAATACCACATACTTGCAAAGTTGTTCAAGTGCTGGTGGTTTTAAACAGATTAGTTCTTGGTCACTTTTCGAATAAATATGTCAGATGTCACATTATTAGACAGGAAAATGAGGTAATAGCTCAGAGAGAGCTGTTATAAATACTGTTGTTATTTATAGAGATAAGTAAAAGGGAGGTTTTCAAAGAAACCTTTAGAAACTCCATTAGTTCAAAGCTCTATTAAAAGCAAAGTGGTTTTGATTGAGGGAGGCCCACAAATGATTATCTAAAGGCAACATTGTGTTTTCACAACGACCACTTCAATAAAGCATCAGTCAAGACTGTGAAGCCCGAAGTTGAACACTTTGTGGTCAGACTTGCACCTTGCACAGACAAAGCCACATGCTTTGTTTTAAATAATCCCCAATTTACAAGGTAGTGATTATAATGTTGTAGGTCTTTTTGTTTTCCCCAGAAATTACTATTACAGATTAAAGTTACATAGATGTTTTGAGTCCCTTAGTTTAAGGGAACTATCTAAATATTAAATTGTACCAGCAGCCCCCAAACAATAATTACGAAGTACACTATAAATGCTTGCAATTCCTGGCACTATTTATATTTCATCATAAATCTTGTATACTAATTTAATAAACTCAGTATACTTAAATGTGAAAACACTTATTTTAAGCTATATCCACCTCTTTATTATCCTTTGCCTTTAGATGCAGATATCATACACATGAGAGGTAAAGAGTTTGTAGAAGATAGCAGTGCATGCAGCACTTTCCAATCTAGCAAGTTATTTTTTTCCAAACACTGTGAAGCTACAGCTGCTTACTGTAGAACACTGAGACTGATTTGACTTGATGTTGAAAATCTTTATCAGGTTCCTATGTATGAAAATGCCATCTTCCCTTACTAGTAAAGCAGGCATGTTTGTTAGGTATTTTATTAGACTTTCCTGGATCTTCCTGCATATAGTTTTAATTTCATTGTAATTTCTGTTTTTACAAAACAGAATTCTAATAATGTATAAAGTAAATATACCAAATTTGGTTGGGGTAGGTCATTGAGTCTCATTTTCTCATTCAACTAGCCTAATGTCCCACAAGTACAGTCAAAGGGTTTTTGAGTCTTATTAAACTACCTTATCTTTAAATGCTTGGGTGTTAGTTGCACAAAATATGGTCATAACACAGCTTTTATAAAATAACATGTCACAGCATTGACTACAACTTTCTTTGTAACGAACATGCAATTTTTAGTTTTGTTATTTTGAGAATAAATTTGAGAGTTTCAAGAACATTATTATAGTTCATGTCTACCTTTACTTGATTGAGATTGCTGAACTGATTTGGTTTCATTTTAATATGGATCTTGTGATCTGATTTGTGTAGCCAAACCATTCTACCATAGGGTTCTTATTTTCTGCTGAGCTCAGAACCACTTTCAGGAACTGCATACCTCACAAATGCCCAGGAAAATTGATGTGATTTTCCAATAGCCTTCTGACTCAGCCTTCTTTTACCACTCAAAGTAAATACCTCCTTGCAGTTTCTAGCACAACTAAACAGCTACACACTCCCTAAAACTTAGTTCATTCAATTTGGCTGTCTTCTCACCAGAAGTCACTTCCTGCTTTAGCTTATCTAAAACCTATACAATTTCTGATGCACACCTCATGTTGCTTCTTTTCAAAGAAGCCCAACCTGTTCTCCAAAACCCTCAGTGAACTCTATCTTCTCTGTCAACTACATGGCCTATTATCTGTGTCATCCATTTCACACTTACCAACTGAGACTGTGTGGTTAGTTATGTTATTCCTGCTCAACCAAATTATAAGTTCTTGGAAGTCAGAGATCATGATACATTACTTCTTTGTTTATGCCATAGCCCCAAATACAGCATTTTGCACATAGCAGTCATGTATTTTTAAATTTAAAAAGAATCTTAAGAGATGATCCCAACTACGTTAGATAAGAGACCTAGATCTCAGGGGTTAAAGGAAAGACTGAAAAAAATTTGGTGATTGTTGAGCGCTGGATTTACTACTAAGTGTTGGAAGAAGTTTAAATGTTTTTGTATGTATAAAGTACCCTATAAACGGTGCTTTTCAAACTTGAATTTGCATTAGAATCAACTAGAGCATTTGTTAAAACACAGATTGAGGGGCCCAAAGCCCAGTGTTTCTGATTCAAGAAGCCAGGAGTGGGGTCAAGCATTTGTGTTTCTAACAAGTTTCCAGGTGATGCTGATATGACTGGTTCATGGACTGCCTTTTCAATAGCATTGCTGTAAGAGAAAGGTACTTATACCTAAATGCTAGCTCAATGATAGTTTTTCTATTTTTGAAAGAGTAAGTTGAAATTTTTCTGTTAAATTACCTTTTTTTTTTTTTTCCAAAACATGAGTAGTTTCTATTCCAAACATGCTTTCAATTTGCTCCTAAGGATCCCACTTTGCATATGATTCACAGATATTAATTGTCCAAGTAAAGAAATAATTTTGAAAGCTCTTTTCCTTCATTTTTTCAAAATTCAATTTTCACTGGAAAAGACAAGACAAATGCCAATAGGACAATGACTTCTTATCTAAATTTAGCATTCTCATACACAATTGAGAGCCAGGCTAATTGTAACAACTTTCTGGAAAGCAGTTTTGCAGTATATATAGGAAGCTTTAAAAATGTGTACACCTTTCACTCTACACTAGATCTAACTTGTAATGTTTTATCCTAAGTATAAAATAAGTAATCAACTACGGAAATATTCTGTATCTTGATGTTATAATAGTTGACTAGATACATATATTTGTCAAAACTCATGAAGTTGTACATTTAAAATAGGTGCTTTTTGGGTAAATTATAATGCAATAAAATTGAATTAAAATTGTTTAAAGTGTCAGTAAGAAATTACTTCTTTTTCTTGTTGTTTTTCAGCTGCAGTTATGGCATTAACCTCCCAGTTGTTACCTACTTCTAGATGAAAGTAAGTGTGAAATAGGAAATTGAATTAAAGGTGTTTGCCATGACCTCTGCAGTTATGTAGCTTGTGGAGAAGGCCAGGGTGTGTGTGTACGTGTGTGTGTGTGTGTGTGTGTGGGGACACAGAATCTGTGAAGTAGTCCTGCAGCTACTCCACTGGTTTTAAGTAATAGAGAATGCGTGACCATTTTAATGACTCATCTGTTGGAAGCCTACTAGAGAGGTGGAGAAGATAATGTACAGTAGTCCTGATGCTGATTCTAAAGACCCACTTTTTCAGCTTGATTTAGGCTATTGGCTAAAGTTACTCTAAGGGTTCTGAGGTACTTTAAAGTTGAAGGACCTGAATCTCTGGTGATTTCATTCTCTCCGCTACAGGGAATGAAACAGATAAATAAATAAGCAGGGCAGTAGTTTTTCTAACTATTTTCTAAGATCACTAACAGGCTTGCTCTTCCTGCACCATTTTTTCTGCTTTCTTACCTAGATTGCCAACGCCTTTTGAGTACTTATTTGTCTTTCTATACCCCAGAGTCCTGCTTTTTTATAATTGCTACTCAGTAATTATGTAAGGAGATTGAAATAATTCCTTACTATTGAGTTGGTATTTTGCAAACTTTCACTTCAGTCTAGTGGTAAGAATGTAGTAATTTAGGAAGAAATTGACAAGGATGTTTTGAAGGTATGCCCAATAGTATTACAAATTATTTTTAAAGAAAACCTTTAAAATAGCATCTCCTTTTTCCTAAGTAACTTGCAAATCAGATTTTTTAAATTGTTTAAAGTAAAAAACAATGCTCTTTTCTCCATATCCCAGAACTGCAGATAAATGTGATTTCTAAAACTTTTTCCAAGTCATATATTTTCATTAGCTACAGTGATCTTACAACTGAAACTTAGCTATAGGCTATGTTAAAGATACATGAGGCAGAATGTAAAGTAGCTAGAATTTATAGTGTTACATGGTATTGCAAAAGGCTAGCTGCTTTTTCTTAATCCAAACACATATAGTCTGACTGGAAAGAGATTTTGAGGTCATATCTTTCAAATAATACAGAGTTTTTGTTGTTGGTGGTGGGTTGGTTTGTTTGTTTTTAGTTAATACTAAAGCGCAAATGTTTTATCAAAATATGAGTGAAATTTTCATGGAGTTGCCTGCATTTGTGAGCATCTGCTGTGTTCTTAATGGTACAGTGAACAAGAGCCATTAGACCTAAGAGTATGACCTTATAGCAGGTATATCCAAAGGTACAACAGAGGGATGTCTGTAGAGAAACAGGAGTCTGCTGCCTCTACTGATTTGAACTTCCCGATGACTCCCATATAAAATCTAAATCCTGTTCATCACTTGTCTTTTATCAAAAACTTAGCCGTATCATTTTTTCTATTTTGTATTCCTCTAATTATTTTCAGTGGAACAAGCATATGCAAACTCGTCTGTTATACTTTTATAGTAAAGTGGTTTTCACTTTGTAACAAGGCTATGACTGTCTTAGAGTCTTGAATCCAAGTTTGTGAAGTAGATCCTGTGAGAGAGATTAAGTGACTTTCCCAAGGCCACTCTGATGTCATCAAAAGAAATTTACATTCAGGTCTGGCTTACCTCAGGCATAGTTGTCCATACATCAGAATTTTAAATATTTGTACCTACTTTTGAAATGTTCTTATTATTTCCAGCCATCTCTACCCACAACCCTCTCCAAATCTTGGATAAATTTATTTTGAGTGAAACGGATTTTAATCAGTTAGGTTATGCCTCTACAGAGTTATTTCTACAGTAGAAAGCATTTGAATGTGCTATAAATCCACCATCATGGTCTTATCTCAAATGTCACCATCTCAAAAATGACCTTATTGCCTACTACTGTTACCTATTTATTCTCTATACTGATAGCTGATTTTATTTTTTTCAAAATATTTTCATCTGAACTTACATTATTTACTTGTATACATGCTTCCTGTCTTTTTCCACTGGAATATAAGCTACCTTGGAATTTGAACCTTATCTACTTGTTCCACCTTTTCCCTGGCAGTTATGTGCTAGGCATGGAATAAGGCTCACCAGATTTTGGTTGAAGCAGTAATCACTAGGTACTAAACACTGGGGTAACAATTACCAGGGGATGACATTACTCTCATGCTCAGCAACAGTTCTTCTGGTAAGAGCATTATATTTTGTTTCTACTCTTTACGTTCAGATGGGTTCAAGTGAAACAAAACTGAAAATCATTGCCATTTATATGCCTCCCTTTCTCTGTAAAGTTATAAAAATGAGATAAAATATTTAAAATATTATTTTATTACATATGAGCAGTTTATGTTTTAAAGTCTTTGAAACTATTTTCCTTTGTGTATTCACAAGATACCACATTTTGATTAATTATTAATTCCAGTCATTTGCAGACATATACTATTGGAGAAAAATGAATGTTAATAAGGAAACTGAAATCTGAAAGTCATCTCTAAGGTTTTACTTTTCATAACTTAAAATTACTCACAGTTGCTTGGTTATTTATAACTTTCTTTTTCATTCTACATCAAGCACACATCTCTTTCATTTTTTTTCTATTGGCAAGTGAGCATGATAGATTAGTGAACGAATTAGGCATCATACCATGTTTCATAATACTACCCTTTCTATTGGTCTAAAACCAGAAAATGAATATAGACCACATAGTAGCTGAGATCATAAGCTGTGAAAAAAAGTTCTCTTAATTGGGAACAAGTTTGAAATAGAAATAAACCCACAGCGCATTTTTTTTTCAGTGCATTAGAGCTGATAGTGATAGTAAACATACACATACATTTGAATATGTGATTACATAAATATATGTGTATATATACGTGTGTGTGTGTGTTTGTGTGTGTGTCTCCTGATCTTATTTAAAAGTATTTAAAGTGACTTTTAATAGTATGTTATTCTTAACAATGCTTTCTGGAAGCAGTTGCTAATTATTTTCTACATTTTACCAATGATGAAAGTGGGGATTGGGGAGTTTATATGATTTACCCAAGATTGAATAATTGATTAAACAGACATGGGCCTTGAATTCCAGTTATCTGATTGGTATCTCACTACTTAAAAATAATATAAATTAAAAAGGACAAAATTCTCAAATCAAAATTTAAGTAAAAGTTAGGTCAACTTAATTATTGTCTCTATTCAAGGTTTAGCTGCAGGCAACGTAATCTACTCTAGTTAATTAATGGAAAACTGTTTATTTGGGAGTATCAATTAACTTACAGAATTACTGGGAAGACCAAGTATACCAGGCTTGAATGCCTTCAAACTAGTAATACTGAACCATACCAAAAGATTTTTATAGAAGTTCACCTGTTTTTGCTGCCTGCACATCAACACTTATGTGACCAGAAGCTTTGGCGGCTAAAGAAATGCCATGTCTCCACAACTGTGCTTGCTTCTTCAATCTTTACTCTAGCCAAGCAACTCTTACTAGGTAGAACCTCCCAAGATTGCTGCAGGTTTGCATTTGTCAGGAGATATATCCACCATAGTGCTGCAGCGTAACATGCTACCTCAAAATTCAGTGGCTTAAAATAACAATCATCTATTTTTGTTCACACATCTGCAGGATAGCTGAGGTTGGCTGATCTAGGCTGGGCTTAGTTGGGTGGCTCTGCTTTACGTTATAGACCTGGCTGGACTTCGTTCTTTGATATGCATTAAACTAATTCTGGATCTAATTGAATTTATTCTGGTTTTCAGGTTGAGGGCAGCAGCTGTCATAGTGATCGCAGAGGGCTGAACAAGCAGAAACACACAATGTATCGTCAATTAAGAGTTACACCCAGCAAACTCTCATTTCTGCTGCATTTCTTTGGCTAACACAAGTCATATGGTCAAGCCAAAGTAGTGGGAAGGACTGCAAACACATAGAAAAGAGAGCAAATGAAGGGAAGGGCGCAGCATTGGGACTAATACTTAAATCTAACACCCAGAAAATATTGTTTTGAAATTATTTCCATAAAAAAGAGAGGCACAATTGAAGAACTATCAAAATGGAGACACATTTTAAATAAGCTTGGGCCTGAGACAAACAGAAGTAGTGTACTACATACATTTAATGTAATGGAAAATCAAGGACTAGTATATTCAGTATAGCTTTTATGTACGTAATGTTAAAACATCAGTGAAATATTGTGGGTCACGACTGTGATTCCCCTTGAAAGATTTATATACTGTATATGTAATATGTATATGTATAAGAGATGACATCATAATAGTATATATAAAGCAATCTTACCATTGTTGCATCTTAATAAGAGAAACAAGATATGTATAAAATTGACAGATTTAAAAGAGATTTTTAAAAGATTTTAAATTGAAAGTGTTTGTTTCCATGCATTTTTATTAAATTATCTACTTTGTAGCAGTGTATGTGATCATGTGGCTCTGTGCCAAGGATAAGAAGGGGACACTGCTGTCGTTTCTGTTGGTTCAGTCTAGTGCATATATGAAAGGACGGAAATATAGACTCCAAAATACAGGCTTAAGAAAAAGTAAAATAGTGTTCTTATGAAGTAAAAATTATTTCATAACCACTTATTATCTAAGACCAGTCAGTAGTTTGCTCATCTTCTCACCTTGGTTAGGAATGATTTTATACTCCTTAATGGATGGAGTCTCCTGTTATTTAACAATACTATCATGCAATAAAAGAAGAGAACTATTTCATTTCTGGATCTTTGCAAGGACTGGAAATTTTAACCTTTCTTATAGTAACTGCTATCTTTCCATGCATGGGAAAAATCATGCTACAACTGCATAGCAATGTATATTGTTACAGTTAAACCAGTAACAAAAGGCCAATAAATTAAAGATACAATAAAATTACAAAAAAGATATATAAAAATTGTATATATAATTTTATTTATATATAAATAAGATTTATATTTCTATAAAAACTAACTATATAAATTTGTTTTATTTATAAAATAAATGTATTTCATTTATATATATAAAATTCCCTTAAATATAATTTC